TCTTTTCAATAATAATAACTTTCTTAAAGAAAAAGAAAAGAAAAATAATCACTAACTCAATTTCGGAAAATAAATATTTAGAAAATTAAGCATGAAAATGATGGGGGAGATATTTATTATTGTTTTTATGTACAGATGCATCTTGAGGTCAAGTTGGAATACCAATCAGGTGTACTTGAGCAGGCCAAACATACGTATAGAAGCAAATAAAACAGTATTATAATGCTAATCACCGTGGGATAATTATCAAATATCAACCTATTTTTCAGTTCCACGTGTGCTATCCTTGCATTAATTTTGTATTCTTAGCCATGCTTTGTACTGAATGATGATGAAATAGTCGGTTTGTAGTAACATGCTCATGGACTGTCTTTTTCTTTTCGATATCACTTGTGTATAAATATATTTGAAATTTGAAACAAAATAATTATTCTCAAAATAATATTAAATTAATTAAATAACAGACAACACTTTACGAAATTTACTAGAAAGTACTTCAAGGAAATCGGATTTTCCCCCCTCTCGAAATAACCATAGTCTTATGACAAAAGTGAAGAAGTGTTCACCTTTTAAGTTTTTCATTTAGAAGAATTTCTTTATATTGACCCTGTTCGAATAAATCTCGTAAGCGTAAGAAATCGTTGACAAGTATTAATGTAGTGAGTTGAGTTATCGTCCAATGAGTAATAAATTTTAATTATAGTGTTCTGGTTTTCTATCAAATTCAATGTAAGTGATACAAAAGAGATTATATGTATTTGATATTATACCAAGTCAAGCTATAATTAAATTATGTAAACACGTTTGGTTTTTGTCAAGTTGAAATGAATGTATTGAATTTTAGAATCCATCTATTGGTGTCCATTTGGAATTCTTCAACTAGTTACATAATTTAGCTCTATTCAAGTGCTTCTAATAATCTATAATCCTATATTATTTGATTTTCATTTTTCAAGATAAATCGTACTTCTTCTAAACACGACCTGATCTTATACACAGTTCCAATTTATATGTAAAGACATGCATTCAATAAACATGATTATCTAATGAGATTTCACATGCTACACATGCTATTCTTGACGTCTATTACATGTGTTAATTATGCAGTATTCTAAATATATTATGAATTTTCCAACACTAAAAAGCAACAAGTTATTTAAATAGCAAATTAAACATGTAGAAACCATCAAGAACACGAGAATTTACTAAATTACTTGTCTTTAAATTAAAAATACATGATCAATGATCTCATTTTCATCCAATACAATAGAGAGTTTAGCCTAGCCTAACATGTTTTATAAATAAATTACACAAAGACTTATGAAAAGACATCACCTGAATTAAGGAACAAAAGAAAGAACTTGAAAAGACGATTTCTTAACATTGAATCTTGAATCTATGCTTTGAATCTTCAATATATTGTGTTATTTTCATTGTAAAATCTAGCTAGACATCTTCTTTACGTTATATGGTTGTAAGATACGTTCTTGACGACCTTTAATATGTTAAAAAGAGGCTAGAAGTTCATACTATAAAAGGTTGGACTTAAAAAAGAAAACCATCCCATCAGATTTTGGGAACACCCATGCGTGCGCATGTGTTTCTCGTAGTGCATTTTGGTCCTCCTCCATTCTTTTTCAGATGATTGTCTTCTATTCTCATCCAATTGGCACTCTCCAGTCTTCAACATGATCCTCAAATCAACTATTGAACATTTACACTTTAGCCCTCGTATTTTGGATTTCTTTTATTTTCGCCTCCTTTTCTTCTTTCCTTTCATCCAATTCCACCATTTTTTCATCGAGATTTACCTAACAGATACAATTCATTTGAAATTAAACCATAATTCATTAAAATAACCCAAAAAAGAAAGTATAATTTAAAGGTCTAAATAAATGTACAAAATACATTTATCAACCCCGTACGACCTAAATAATGAGTCCGATCCAATTTAATGTGAAATGTAATTTATGCTGAGTGGAAGGAAAAGCGTGTTAAAGATCAAGATGCAATCATAACAGTTGACTTATCAAGAACTAGTTAGGCAGTTGGAAGGGCAATATAAATTGATTTCTCTCATATGTAAGGTTTGTCTTTAATCTCTAGAATCTTTTCGTCTACTTGTATTCTTCAAAATTAATCTGTTATGAGGTTGTAATTTTGTCTGGTTGCCATACTTGTGTTTCTACACTATTTTTCTACACATTGATGGTCTAGTACTGAGGTTTTGCGAATTATAAATCTGTAATAAGTCCATGTGTGGTTCGAAGAGGCTTCTTGAAGGTTCTATGAGTAATTTGGGATCTTTGAGTGGGATTAGCTTGTAATCTTCCATTCTCATAACATTTGATGATTGTTTATAGTTCAAGAGGCAAATCTACAATTATAGAACCTCAAAGTCAGACTTGGACATTGCACCCTACCAACTTTTCAGCCCCTTTAAAGGAGTGAACATATATGGTGTTATTTTGTTCTTTGTTCTTTCTTGAGATTTTAATTCAGTTGGTGTTAGATGATAAGAATGTTTAAGAGAATTGAGAATTGAAACACATGGTATTATAGTTTATACACTTATCTAGGCTGTTAAACATGAATATTTGGGAGTACTTTGAGGGAATTATTGCTTAAACTCAATGTTGGAGGAGTTTTTTCGATAAAAAGAACAAAATTTGAGTAAAAAGGATGAATTTTGTACTTTATTCTGATAAAGCAAACCAACTAGACAAGAATTGGAAGATCAAGGGTTCAAATTGCAATTACAGCAAATGTAAGTAGATCGAAGGGCAGAAATCAGGGAACAAAAAGTTCAGGACTCAAAGTTGAGCAAGCGATTGCAGCGCAATAGCCCATGTGATCACAATGCCAAGTTTGGCCGAGGCAGCTTTTAACGTGGCAATGCCATGCAATCGCACTGGAGTATACCATGCGATCACATGATATTAACTCCAGGAAAAAAAATGTTTCCTTTTTGATTTTGTTCAAGTTTTACAAACAAATTGGGCGCCGATTTAACCTACTTTGGACCTCCAATTTCAATTTTTCTTTATCTACAACATTGAGAACAAGGGCGAAGGGAATAAAGGTAGAGAACATTAATAGATTGAAGATTATAAGCAAGAAATTGGCTTTACACTATAATTAAATATTTTTGGCGATGAATTTCCAAAGCTTTTGTTGTATTTTCATTATGGCGATGCTACGCTATATATATTAGTGTTGAGATGAAAATCTTTTGTTCTACCGTTTCAATTCAAATACAATTTCTCTATTTTCACCTATATATTTTTTCGTTGGTGAAAAGTACACATTATTACCTATTCACACATAAACCATTACATACGAAAAATTCGTGAGTCATTAACAAGATTTTTACCAGCAGTAATTCTTTAGTTAAATAATGTTAACACATTTACCAAGGAATTTTTTGTATTACACATCTTCCAAACGAATATCCATGGGTAATGACAACACTTGTACAAACTGAGTTATTCGTCTAAAACATTTTGATCAACGAAATTCTCGCTTACAATATCTTTACCAACAAAATCTCCATAGGTAATGACAATACTTGAATCAATGAATTTTTATTTGGTAACAATAAAACTTTTATCGACATATTTTCAGTTGGTAACAATAAAATTTTTATCAACGGATGTTCCATTGATAATGATAACACTTTCACCTATTAAAATTTCGTTGCTAAACCTTATACCTACGAATCATGTATTGGTAACTATCACCAACCCTCAAAATAACAACAAATCTGCGATTAATCGTTAATAAAGATTAGTATCACGTCTTCAAAATGAAAAATTCGTCCTTGTAGCCACCTTTTTTAGTGTCAATAGACTATTTGTTTAAACAAAAAAAAAAAAATTATTGTCAACGGTGACTCTCTTTCTCATTTTTCCCTCGTCACACAAACCCTCAAGCAAATTTTAATTTCCCTTAAAGTGATAAATAAAAATCGAACATTAAATTATTGAATGGTTGAAGTTTAATTCATATTAATCGACTAATTTTCATTTTGAAATCAGTTCTTTAAGAATTTAAATTATTAACGAATTAAGTCTAGGGTTAAACTAAGAAATGAACTTATTAAAAAAGTATAAATGTTAAAATTCATAGAGCGATTAGTTAAACTGAGAACTCATTTAATCCGGGCGTGCTTCTATAATCTAAAGCACGCTTTTTATATCATTCACTTTTCCCCTTAATTTTTGTTTGTTTAATGTCTCCAATTAACTTATTACCTTGCAGTTAACAAGAAGTGTCACTAACCAAGATGTCATTATAGCATCATGCATGTACATATTTCAGATTATACTTAGCTGAAAAGAAGATTGAAGTATTAAATCACGCCAAAGTACTGTGATTAAGTCACGACTTCAATTTTCATTTTAAACAAATGAAATTTGCTATGATAGATAGGCAAAATTTAATCTTATTACATTTCGCTATATTTTCGTATTTTATATGTCATAAAAATAAACAATTTATGATCCAGATTAGCCTGCATGAAGCGTGAACAGATTATACCTTCTACGAGGAATTCTTTATACACTTCTAACCAGTAATCTAATAAGCTGCTGACTGATCATATGTTGCCATTGTGGACCGACCGAATAAATAAAAAGTTGAATAATGGATTGGATTTTTATTTTTAAATGAGAATGCTACATTTTTATGGCACTTTTAATAATTTTTTTTGAATAAATAACTTTATATTTCATTAACAAACCAACAAAGTTAGTTTTCAACGTTGAGTTAGAGTCACACGAAGTCTATTTTAATATTTACAAATAAATGCACAAATATTTATTTATTTATTGGCTCAGAAGAGTATATTTTTATGGGAACAACTTGGTCAAATTTTTATATAGCTTTTTCTTATTTTTATCACTTAACAACTAAATTATATCCTTGCAAAAAATATTAGCACGCCCGCTATAGTTTTTCTCAAAAAGACACATAAAATTTTTTAATGCCGACCATTGACTGCCTCTATTCGTGAAACCTAAACTCTTCTTAGTATCCCTAGTTCCTTCAACATTGTTCATGATCTCCGGGACCAAAACTTGAAAATGGAGATTAATCCATCCTGCATAGAAAATTTGGAGCCAACAATGTCGAGTGATGATCTTGATCAAGTTCTAGGCCATGCTAAATCTTACAGATGCACTTTCTGTAAACGTGGTTTCTCTAATGCACAAGCACTAGGAGGGCATATGAACATTCATAGAAGAGACAGGGCTAAGCTTAAAGAGTTTTCCAGCCTAGACATTCTTTCTTTGGACATCAAGAGAATGGATTCTGCTGATAGTCCTCTGGCTTCTGCCAACCAGAACATGCCGAAAACAGCAATTATTGCGTCTGGAGAAGTTGATTCAGCAGTCGAGCCTAATGAAAATTCTAAAACTGTGCAAGGTTTAGCTTTGTTTACTGAGGAACCATTGGTTATCAATGATGAAGGAGAAAACAGTCATTTTGGCGAGAATATGGAGAGCAGCCAGGAGGTTACCGATGGCTCTACGCAGGCTGAAGTAGACCTTGAACTTCGTTTAGGGCCTGAACCAGATCATGATGCATCCACAAAGCAATAGTTTTGAATCTGGGAAAATATACTTCTGGATCATTGTTCAAGTGTAGAATTGTCCACTTATAAGGAAAAGGATATCTTATTATATTATTTCAAGAATTATCAAGTGAAGTTCGAAGACTAATTATATGGTTAGTTTTTTCAATTTTTGCTGGTATATAATCACTTTACCTTCATTTGCTTCTAGTGATGTATGAAGCTAATATATTTTTGAAGTCACATCAATATGTAATATATATGTCTAATAAAAGCTGAGATCAGCTGCTTCATCTAGCTTCAGTATTGACGCTTAATAAGAATGTAATTTTGGAGGTATTAGTATGAAATGATGCAACTTCTGTAACATAAAACTGTGTTGTTCAATATTGTTAAGTTTGTTCATTGAAATAATAGTCATTTCTTATGAAATTATTCATACTTTGTTGGTAACTACGTTAGCCCTAGTCCCGGAAACTAAGATGTTTCCGGCTTTCTTTCCCACAAAAACTATTTGTGCCCTTTTTTCCATCTTGTATAAAGGTTTGGGTTGTTTGACAGTTTTTGATACAAATTTTTTCTAGATTTTTATAAAAGTTAATGAAGTACGTGGTTGAGAAGTTCATAACAAAGTTTCATTAATCAAGCACAAAGTAGTATCCATCGATAAATGATGAGCAATGGCCCGAGACTTCACTGATGTCATAATGAGTTTTGGAAGGCACTTCTAGGTCCGAGTACACGAGCTGGTACCAATCAAGATCAGACACACACTTCGCGTGCATTGCAAAAGAGAATTTTGAACTAGGTTTAGGAAATGCCAGGCGAATTGATGACCTTATAAATGTGTTTTACAGAGAATGTGAGGAAAATGCTAGCTAAATATGATCATACAGATGAACTTTGGTGGAAACTGGAAGAGTATAGATCAATATGTTATGCATTCTTACACCATGGGCTATATTGGTGGAAGTTTTTCCATTTGCAACCCTTTGGAGGTGGAGCATGTTAGGGTTTTAGACGGCTGCATATTGATCATGATATTGATACGCATTGTTCGACGGCTCTGATGAGAAAAAATGGTGTGCCTGTGAAGGAAGATTTTAGTCTAATCAGGTATGGCCGATCAAAATGCAGCCACTCCAGTTTGAAATTTGAATCCAGAAATTTTTTAATTTCCCATTCAGTTAATACCTTTGATTTACTGTAAAATGGATTGACTATTTTTGCTTCTTGCAAAAATCCAATTTTGAAATGAATTATGATGAAAATGAACTCACTTTCATGAATCCAAAATTGGAGTTCATTTGTCAATTTGAACCAGTCACACAACTGCGATTATCATGGTTAAATACGAAAACTCAAATTATATTCTGGAGAATTTTTATTTTTTAAATGAATTCTAACAACTTTTCAAAATGATAGAATTTCTTATATATCTTTGGCAACTGTAGTTCTTTTTATTTCCTTTCATCAATGTGTGTAGCAAACCTAATCATTTGGATGTTTTGTGTTAAACTTAACAATACATATAGAAGTTTATAACTTTGACAAGATGTAAAGATGGATGTACGTTTCTCAAGACTAGGGCCTGGACACTGTTCAATCCGCGTCCAATTTTAAAGAGAACTATGTCGAATTAAGAATTATAGGCTATTTTGTAGAAGGAAGATCGGGTCCTGATTTAATTTTGGAACTTGATAGAATATGACCCTAATTTTATCAGAAGTTGGTAGTATATGTCTTGAATGAGTCATAGAAGTCAAGGATGGAACAAGAAAAAAAAAATAACATCAAAATGCTCAACGTCCAAGCATGGAGCGCACAAACTTTTTAGCGACTCCAGCACTCCCAGTCCACCCCTCGAATGGTTGAGCGGTCAAGCCACGACTTGATGCCTACGAGACCATTGCTTGAACGGTCATTATATTAAGGGAAAAACTGTTTACGATTTTAGCAATTTTTGGACTCCTACTCAAGCTCAAACACTTTATTATTTGTCAAGTCTATTATATTAGGACTCCGCCTTTTTTTAGACTCTTTTTTGTATTATATATAGAAGTAATTACATCTTTTGAGAGATTATCCAATATATTGTGTTCTTTACATAATTTGATATCCGCGAATTCTCCTCCTCTGTCTATGGTTCTTTTTCCATATTATGTTTTTACGTAAATTTTTTATTCTTGTTCTTGTGTTTTCATATTTTTGATTCTCCTTTTATAATGACAAACTGGTATCAGAGCGATCTTTGATTTATATGATGGCAACTATAAAATACGAGATTAAACTTTTAGACAATACTAGATTTTATTTTGGCAGGTGAAGATGTAAGCTGTGCTCATGCAGATGGACTTGGATTATGCCATGTTAGAGTTTGATAAGATGCCTTCAACTTGGACAAAGGAGGAAAAAAATGTGAGGATCAAAAGACCCTATACCAAATGTATCTTCATCTATCAAATTAAATTCTTCATGATATTTTAAAGGATAAAATCGTCGTTGCATTATGGTTAAAGTTGGAGCAGTTATGCATGACGAAAAGCTTAACCAGTGAGTTATATCTAAAGTAGTGCTTATATTCTCATCTCATGGTTGAAGGTACGTCTATAGAAGATCACTTAACAATCTAGAAATTATTGCTGATCTGAAGACCATTGAGTTTAAGTACGGTGAAGAAAATTTGGGGTTGATTTTGTTGTGTTTACTGAGTTTTTCATATGTGACTTTTAGAGATATATTATTTTCTAAAGTTGCAACATTTTTACCATGGATGAAGTATATGATGCTCCATTTCCTAAGAAGAAGACAAAGTAGCTTGTGGTTGGATCTAAGGTTCCAATAGAGGGTCTTCTTGTTCTTGGGAGGATACATGACAGGAATTTTGGTGATAATATGAAGATCGGATCGAAATCTAAAAATAGTGGTAAATTTTGTAATTATTGCAAGAAAAAGAGGCACACTAAATCTGACTGTTATAAATTTCAGAATAAGAATAAAATAGTTGTTACTTATCAAAAAGAAAAACAATTAGAAAATTCAGATGAAGCCAGTCTTATAGAAGATAGCTACAATGATGGAGAACTTCTAACTATTTTTAACGCTGACTCCAAACCTTGTGAGGATTGGATTCTTGATTCAGTTTAAACGTTTCATATGTCTCCTAATTAGGATTGGTTTTCAACATATGAAGTCGTTTCCAAAGATGATATGATAATGGATATAATACACCTTGTAGGATAGTTGGCATTGGAACGGTCAGAATTAAGATTGTTGATGGGGCTGTCATGATACTTAGAGATTTGAGACTTATTCCAGATCTAAAGAAAAACCACATATCTTTGAGTACTATTGATTCAAAATAGTACAATTACACTAGTCAAGACGGACTCTTGTTAGCTAATGTGTCCTTGTTTTGATGAAGGGGCATAGAAGTTCTACCCAATTATATGTCTTGCAGGGTTCTACAATAACGTGTGATGCAGTTGTCACTAGTCATTCCTTATCAGATGATGATGTTACTAGACTTTGGCATATAAGTCTTGGGCATATGAGTAAGAATGTGATGGATAAACTGAGCAAGAGATGACTTCTTGATGGGTAGATTACTAATAAATTGAATTTTTGTGAGCATTGTGTTTTTGAAAATCAGAGAGAGTTAGATTCACCAAAGACATCGACAAAATGAACGGAACACTTGACTACATACACTCTAATCTTTGAGGACCATCTAGGGTGTCTTCTAAAAGAAGTGCTTAATATATGCTGACCATTATCGATGATATTTCTAGCAAAGTTAAGGTATTTTTCATAATGCAAAAGAGTGATTTGTTCACTACATTTAATGAGTGGAAGATCATGATTGATAAACAAATATAGAAGCAGGTAAAATGTCTTCACACTGATAATGGGTTTGGAGTTATTTTTTTCCCTAATGAGTTTAATATTTTTTGCAAGCTAGAAGGAATTTTGAGACAATTGACAGTTTGTAAGACTCCATAGCAAAATTGTGTGATATAATGGATGAATAAGACTTTAGTTAAGAAAGTACGTTGTATGTTTTCAAATGCTCTACTTTACCTAATTCATTTTGGGCTCAAGCTATTTCTACATCTTGTTTTCTTATTAATCGTTTACCCTCAACTATCATTGACAAAAATACTGTAGAAGAGATATGTATGTACTACTCCTAGTTACTTAGATTTGAAGATATTTGGATGTCTTGCTTATACTCATATTGATAATGAAAAATTGGAACCTAGATCTTGAAATTGTATATTTCTTAGATATATTGTTAAAGGATATAAGCTATGGTGTTCAGAAACCAATAAAGTCATAGTTAGTGGAGATTTTATATTTGATGAAAGCACAATGCTTCGTGTCTACTTCTACAGAGTCTATTGATATAAATCAGCAAAAATAAACACACAAATGGATTTGAAGATTAGTTCAGGTTCTATATCAATGTCTACACCTCAAGCTAACTCAAAAGTAAAATGTAGTGCCGCTTTACCACCACAACTAGTACTACTACAGCTTCCTATTACTAAAGACAACCCAGAACAAATATTAGACCTTCAGAGAGGTACGCTGAGGCTAATTTGATTGTTCATGCTTTGAATGTGGTTGAAAGTATTGATTCCAGTGAAGAACCTTCTATATACTCAGAGCAGCTTAATACTTTTTTCGGTGTTAATGTGGAAGATTAGTATTGAAGTAGTGGCAGCAACAACAACAGCTTTTCCTATTACTAGTTATTGACACCTTTCGTACAAGGAAGAGGCTGATGAGTTATGTGAAACCCTTGAGGAAAACGAAGACAAATAAAGGACTACCTCAAAAATGGCACACATGCTTTATCATGCCATGGTTTAATTGGCTCGTAAAAGAGTAAAATTTGAAGATATTCTTCAAGTCTTCAGCGTGAGATTTGTGAAATCGGGCATTGAAGATAATAGTAAAAAAAATAGCATAAGTTTCAAAGGTAACTTTGATGCAGTTGCAAAAGCCCCACCTTTTAAAAATAATATGCTCATTTATTTTGCCTCACAAACACCATTTGGAAGCCAAGCTGCTCCTAGTACTGAATCAACTTCTTTGCTACTCTTTCAGGGCTGAGTCCTTTCTGTTGCTCCAAAAGTTGTAGGGGTGACTATTGATTCATCAATAGCTACCATGTCAACTGATGAGTGATTTACACTCATTATATTATGCCATTAATTTCATGATTTTGCTATCTTGGAGAGTATTTTAGAAGTGCTAACAAGTGATTTTGGTGTTGTTTAGTAGATTGATGGAAGTGGAGAAAACAAGAGCTAAAAGAGGTCAAAGGAAGGAGATAGGCAAAATCTAGCGAAATTGGATGAAATGACCAAAACGTAAGAGATCCAAAGTTCGAGGATTAAAATGAAATTAATCAAAAGTCGTGTCAAAACTTGAAATGAAGATCCGAGAGTTCTAGAAGCCAATTGGATGAAGGAAGGTGTCAAAGGGATCAAATTTAGTCAAGATATGATCATAAATCATTTTCCAACCAAAAAGTTTTGCGCCTGAGTTTTGGTCTCACATTTAGACTCATTTTGACATATAAAACGATCGAATTGGAGAATAATTCCTGAAGAAAAATTGTAGTCCTTTGAATTATCTTTCCAACGCATCTTGAATTACTTCAATCGGATATCGAACAAAAAAGTTATGACAAAAATACTGAAAGCTGTCCAGTGCAATCGAAGTAGTCATCAGCGCCCAAGCGCTATCCCTCAGCGCCTAGGCGCCATGATGCTGAAATTTTGACAGAAAGTCTGCGCCTAGGTGCCCAAATTGCAGCGCCCAGGCACCGTCGTGCGAGAGTAATTTTTTTAGGTTTTTGCCATTCTTTTTCGGCCCAACTCATCTCCAAATCTTTCCCTAAACTTCAAGACATAATAAACATAGAACTGAAGACCTAAATGAGAGGGGAGCCGCACACTAAAAATCTATGGAATCAAGCCACGCATTCTTGACATATTGGAGAGAAAAACAACAAGAAGGGAGATTCAAAGGAGGAATTTAAGAAGACTAACACCAAGAATTGAAGATTGAAAGCATTCATTGGAAGAGGAAGGAGATCTTGGTACAAGAATTTCACTTTTTCTTCTACATCTTTATATTTCAAACTCGGTGATGTATTCTAAGACAATTTCCTATTTTTCTTCCATTATTATGAGTAGTTAAATTTGATTTTAGGGCGAACAATGTAATCTTTTGGAATCCTTTATTTCATGCAATTGAGATTCTAGTGCTTTTATATTTCATGTGTTGATTTTAATGTTGTTCTTAATACATTTAATTACTTGATCACTAATTAGATGATTTGTGAACAATGATTGCGTAGAGATGCGGATTATTTGTTTAGACCACATGTTAAAATCCGGTAAATTGATATAATGTGTAGAGATACCTGTATTGATTGCTGCGGTCGTGTGTGAATTCTTAGAACTAATGTTTCATTTAATTAAGTTTAATTTGCATAGAGATATGGAATTAAACTAATTAAATAGGCTCAATGAGAACTCGAGAGGGGTAAGTTGAATACAATAGAAGAATTCGACCGAACACTGTCTTAGGTTTTATGAATCTTGATTTATGAATTAAAGGCGACCAATAGGTGAAATTGTTCCGCCCTAACGTCTATTTATTGTTTGAATTCTCAATCACTTTTCGTTGAATCCAATCGCATTTTTAAGTCTTTAGAATAAAAATCACATTTAATCATTGTTTTTGATTTATATTCGTCAAATAGTAGTTAAAGAAAGATTAAATTAAGTGCTACAAAATAGTCCTCGTGGGATCGATAACTAGACTCTTAGGTCCACTATTACTTGTTACGGATCGTATACTTGCGAAACAAAATTTTACAACAAGTTTTTGGCGTCGTTGCCGGGGACTGTTTCTTTTAGTCTTAATTTATTTATTTTTTATTTTGGCTATTATTTGATTAGTTTATTTTTCTTTTATTTACAGAAAAGTGTGTTCGTTGTATGCTCCGTGCCCAAGGCGACGATCTTGAACCGTTTGATTCGGAGATAGAACGTACCTTCAGGCGAAGACGCAAGGAACACAAACAAAAACAGCAACATCAAATGGCTGACAATCAACAAATCCATATCCCTATTCAACCGATTGGACAAATGACCGCAAGAGTGGCACCACCGGAACAACAGCATGAGCGAAGGGAAATAAATGAAGGTGATTTGCCAGTATCAATGTTCCTGACACCTATAGCAGCACCCATGCGCTCCAGTATTGTGTATCCAGATTTTGGGGTGAATAACTTTCAGATCAGGCCAGATTGGATTAACTTGATGAGCAACACTTTGCAATTCTATGGGCTACCTCATGAGAATCCGAACATATATATCTCCAGATTTCTCAGAAATTGCCAGAACTTCCATGCTCTGGGGGTCAATGGAGATGCTATTAAATTACGACTATTTCCATTTACATTGAGAGATGCTGCATTGGAGTGGTTAGATGCGGAGCTCATGCTAGCATTACTACATGGGAAGAACTGATCAAGAAATTCTGCAACAAATTCTTCTCACCAGCCAGAGTAGTTAAAATCAGATTGGAAATTCAAACTTTTCAACAGAAAGATGGAGAAAGCTATCATGAGGCATTGAATAGACTTAATGAGCTGATGAGAAAATGTCCAAACCATGGAATCACTCAAGGAAACCAAGTGCAGTACTTCTACACTGGACTTACACCATTGTCAAAATCTCAAGTTGATGCCTCTGCTGGTGGATCAATCATAGGAAAATCAGTGCAACAAACCATAGACCTATTTGAGTTAATTGCCACCACACATTCAATGTTCTCATCAGAAAGAGTGGTGCCACCAAAGGTAGGAGGAATGTATGAATTAGATAGCACAACATCTACCAATGCACAGATAGCAGCTTTAACAAAACAGGTAGAGTTACTTGTAAATTTGCAAACACATGGAGCAAATGCAATGATGGCCAGTTCAGTATGTGAGAATTGTGGGAGAAATCACGCTACAGAGAGTTGCATGATGCTCACTTCTTCAGAGGAACAAGTAAACTTTATTCAAAATAACTCCCGTAATTTCAACTCATATGGTAACAATTTCCAACAAGAAAGAAGACCAAGTTTGGGGGAGATATTTCAACAATATGTGCAGAAGACGGACAAGGTGTTCCAGCAAATTAACACAAACTTTCAAAATCAGCAAGCATCCATCAAAAAGTTGGAGACATAAATTGTTCAGATAGCACAACAAAGTGCAGAACGTCCACAAGGGACATTGCCAGACAATACAATGATAAATCCTAAGGAACAGTTGATGGCAATTGAAGTAGTTGAGAATGATCCACTCGGGCCCCCGTAAAAGTTAAAGCATATGTACCTCCACTTCCGTTTCCCCAAAGACTTCGAAAGAAGTCGATGGAGCAAAATATTCATGTCATAAATACAAAGAGCGAGGTATAATCACCAGAGATCACTACAGAGAGACCCAAAAGAAAAGATGACCAAGAAGTGATTGATGAAGTTACAAGGATAGAAAAATCTGCACCAGATGCAACTGAAAATAGAGAAGGTACAGAAACATTAGCTGCCAAAGCACCAAGTCTAAACAAAGCTTACATGCCTCCCATTCCCTTTCCTCAAAAGCTCAAGAAGAACAAACAAGACACAAACTATGAAAAATTCCTCGATGTTCTCAAGAAGCTCCAGATCAATGTTCCGTCCATAGATACGATACTACAAATTCCAAGCTATGAGAAATTTTTGAGAGAGATGTTGACAAAGAGAAGAAAGCTTCCGGAGTTTGAAACCATGGCATTAACTGAGGAAAGTAGTGCAAGAGTCCAGAGAAAATTGCCTCCTGAATTGAAGGATCCAGGGAGTTTTACTTTATCAGTTTCAATTGGAAATTCCTATTTATCTAATGCATTGTGTGACACTGGTGCTAGTATCAATCTAATGTCGTAATCTGCTTACAGGAAATTGGGACTAGGTGAAGTCAACTCAACATCAATAACGCTACAACTCGCTGATAGAACAATCACAAAGCCACGTGGCAAAGTTGAGGATGTACTCGTCAAAGTAGGAAATTTAATATTTCCTGTGAATTTCATTGTATTGGACATACCAGAAGATCGAGACATTCCAATTATATTGGGTCTACCATTCTTAGCAACGGGACGAACCCTTATTGACATGGAGAAGGGAGAACTAATCTTGAGGGTGGAGGACAAGCAGGAGATATTCAATATTTACATCCAATATGAGAACCTCCCAATAAAAATGATTGCTATAGAATTGATGAAGAAAATCCACCTGATCAACGAAGCTGTCAGAATAAAAAAACAAATTTTGGAGAATTTCTTGGTAGAGATAAGAATGGACAAATCAAAATTGGGAGAGCAAAAAAGGACTGCATCAATGAAAATTGCATAGAGTGTAATGATGAAATAACTTGGTTTGAGCCACCATGATAAACCAGCGGTACAAGTCAAGCTAATGACTTAAAAGAAGCGCTTCTTGGGAGGCAACCCAAACTTTTATTTTATTTTATATATTTTGTTTTCAAAGTTCTAAGGTAGTTTAATTTATAGTTTATTTAGGAATCATCACCCATACACCTTCTACCCATAGGTCTTGGAGTAATTAAGTTGGTTATTAGATGTTTGAGCTAAGTAATCCTTGTTCCATGAGTTTAATTTTTCAAATTTAGTTTTTCAAGAACATGACGTCGCGGAACACTCAAACCAACATGGACATGGAGAAAATTGGACAAATCTCAAGTTTGGGGGAAAATATAGAAGAAGAGTCAATCAAATGCAACACTAAGACACCACAACATCATAGGCAATACTGACATTTCAGAAAAGTCCTCCTCCTTGTCCTTTAAATTTCACATTGAGGACAATGTTTCAGTTAAGTTTGGGGGAGTGACATCATTTGCTTACATTGTTAAGTTTCTCGAATACTTATGTGTGATTTGCTTATGTTATGTGTTTGTGTTTTTATTCAAAAAAAAAAATTCATTTTGTGTTTTTGCATGCTTGTGTGTGTTAGATAATCTTGCCGGTATTGATATGTGTAATTGAGAACATGCGTTGATTTATGAATTGTGGACGAATTATGTGTTTGAGTTAGATTTTTGCTTATTCATGTGAAACGAAAATTATTTTTTGCACGTGAGTTGATTGTAGCGTTGTGCATGAGAAGGTTGATTCACATTTCTAGGTTGAAATACAGAACTTAGATGCTAAATTCAAACAACCATTAAACATTACAATACCCTTAAACCAAACTTAGGACGTTTGGATGATTGCACTGTTGTAGGGAAGTTTGGAGATAAATGTGGATTTTGTGTGTGTTAATTTTTGTGTGGATTGTCTGAGACCAATATGATGAAAATTGGGTGAAAGCCTTAAGTTAGAGGTCGATTTTCGAGGATAGGTGTTTAATAAGGGGAATTGCACTAATCACCGCATAATAAAAAAAAAAAGAGATCCCAATGAGGACAACTTTAATAATCTCATTGTGAATCGTCTCTTCGTAGTCTTTATGACTCGAGTGATTAAGCTTGTAAGGATTTAAAACTTGGTGCCCTAAAGTCATCTGATTTGGGAGTTATCGACCTAAAACTCGCTACAGGGGTCATTTAGAAAGCTTAAGGGAGAGACGTCCGCACAAAGGGTGATTAAAAAATAAAGAAATATGGGAAGAAAAAAATTAATCAAAAAAAAAAAACAGAGAAAAAAAATAGATATCAAATGCCTTGATTAAGCCCCAAACACTTGTTTTGGAGGTTAGACCTTTGATAAGGGGTAAGTAACTTGGTTAATTCCTCGAGGTTGAAACAGTTAAAAATAAGGAGAAACCTCATTTGTTGACATGTGGAACTACAATCAGTAAAATCTAACCAAACTTGAGTGGTGAAAGAAATTAGTATTGAAAATTTAACCTTAGGTTACACCCTTGGAAAGAGAAAAGAAAATAAGTTTGGGGGTGTGCGAATCCCACGAGCAAAGTAAGGAAAAATTTGACTTCTAAGGTCGGGAATTGGGTCAACTTATTATTGTACAGTGTTGCACTTGACTCTCCACACACACACACCCGTTGTGCATTGAATAGGCGAGAATTTAACTTTTCCAATGTAGCTTTGAAGTGGTTTATGGAATCGAAGTTATGTTTTTAATTCTCAGACATGAAGGCAAGCTATCTAGCAAAATTTATTTTAAGTGATTTTTTTTGTCTTGGTTGTCCTTATGTGTCCATTAATTATTTTTATGGGTTTTGATGTTTGCTCGAGGACAAGCAAAAGATTAAGTTTGACATGAAGGCAAGCTATCTAGCAAAATTTATTTTAAGTGATTTTTTTTTGTCTTAGTTGTGCTTGTGTGTCCATTAATTATTTTTACGGGTTTTGGTGTTTGCTCGAGGACAAGCAAAAGATTAAGTTTGGGGGTGTTTGATGAGTAATTTACACTCATTATATTATGCCATTAATTTTATGATTTTGCTATCTTGGAGAGTATTTTAGAAGTGCTAACAAGTGATTTTGGTGTTGTTTAGTAGATTGATGGAAGTGGAGAAAACAAGAGCTAAAAGAGGTCAAAGAAAGGAAATAGGCAAAATCTAGCGAAATTGGATGAAATGACCAAAACGTAAGAGATCCAAAGTTCGAGGATTAAAATGCAATTAATCAAAAGTCATGTCGAAACTTGAAATGAAGATCCGAGAGTTCTAGAAGCCAATTGGATGAAGGAAGGTGTCAAAGGGATCAAATTTAGTCAAGATATGATCATAAATCATTTCCAACCAAAAAGTTTTGCGCCGGAGTTTTGGTCTCACATTTAGACTCATTTTGACATAGAAAACGATCGAATTGGAGAATAATTCCTGAAGAAAAATTGTAGTCCTTTGAATTATCTTTCCAACGCATCTTGAATTACTTCAATCAGATATCGAACAAAAAAGTTATGACAAAAATACTGAAAACTGTCCAGTGCAATCGAAGTAGTCCTCAGCGCCCAGGCGCTATCCCTCAGCGCCTAGGCACCATGATGCTGAAATTTTGACAGAAAGTCAGCGCCTAGGCGCCCAAATTGCAGCGCCCAGGCACCACCGTGCGAGAGTAATTTTTTTAGATTTTTGCCATTCTTTTTCGGCCCAACTCATCTCCAAATCTTTCCCTAAACTCCAAGACATTATAAACACATAACTGAAGACCTAAATGAGAGGGGAGCCACACACTAAAAATCTATGGAATCAAGCCATGCATTCTTGACATATTGGAGAGAAAAACAACAAGAAGGGAGATTCAAAGGAAAAATTTAAGAAGATTAACATCAAGAATTGAAGATTGGAAGCATTCATCGGAAGAGGAAGGAGATCTTGGTGCAAAAATTCCACTTTTTCTTCTACATCTTTATTTCAAACTCGGTGATGTATTCTAAGACAATTTCCTATTTTTCTTCCATTATTATGAGTAGTTAAATTTGATTTTAGGGCGAACAATGTAATCTTTTGGAATCCTTTATTTCATGCAATTGAGATTCTAGTGCTTTTATATTTCATGTGTTGATTTTAATGTTGTTCTTAATACATTTAATTACTTGATCACTAATTAGATGATTTGTGAACAATGATTGCGTAGAGATGCAGATTATTTGTTTAGACCACATGTTAAAATCCGGTAAATTGATATAATGTGTAGAGATACCTATATTGATTGCTGCGGTCGTGTGTGAATTCTTAGAACTAATGTTTCGTTTAATTAAGTTTAATTTGCATAGAGATGTGGAATTAAACTAATTAAATAGGCTCAATGAGAACTCGAGAGGCATAAGTTGAATACAATAGAAGAATTCGACTGAACACTATCTTAGGTTTTATGAATCTTGATTTATGAAGTAAAGGTGACCAATAGGTGAAATTGTTTCGCCCTAATGTCCATTTATTGTTTGAATTCTCAATCACTTTTCGTTGAATCTAATCGCATTTTTAAGTCTTTAGAAGAAAAATCACATTTAATCATTGTTTTTGATTCATATTCGTCAAATAGTAGTTAAAGAAAGATTAAATTAAGTGCTACAAAATAGTCCTCGTGGGATCGATAACCGGACTCTTAGGCCCACTATTACTTGTTACGGATCGTACAGTTACGAAACAAAATTTTACAACATCAACTATGGCAGAGAAAGTGGAAACTTTCATTGGTCGTAAATCAACCATAGCTCTTACTAAATCTAGATTAAAGCGTGTTAGTAGATGTACTACAATTTCCAGCAGTGAAGTCCTTGATGTTCTTCCTTCAGTTTCATAAACGGAGAAAAGAAACATTTTAGGTCCTAGTGATAGATTGGGGAAGGACGGTATCATGCAGTCTGTTGTTTCCTTGGTGACATTAAAATCCTCATAAATTTTCTACTAAGAAGACAACGGTGATGTAAAAATTCCCCACCCAGAAAATGGAGAGACATTCAACTTTTGCAATCAAAAGTAGCAAAAGATACTGAATTATTCTTGTTTAATAAAGGTTACTACTTTTGGTCAATAAAGATCATTCTTATGGGTCAAAAGGAAAGATAAAAGAAAAAGGACAAAAAACTATGCAAAGTTTTTTTGTGAACCATGAAAACATGGTTATCAATGTGAAAACTGAATTGGGCAGGGATAAAGATTATTTTTTGGGGTCAGAAGGACAATAAAGACAAGAGAAATGAAAAAAAAAATTTCAAAATTCTCCCATGACAATGAATTCGGTAAGTCCACTGAATTGGATTCTCCACGTGAACACTGAATTTGGTAGAGTTGTGATGATTCGAGTAGATCGATGATTGCTATGAAAGAGGAGATGGAATCACTTCATAAGAATGTCACATGAGACTTAGCCCCCGTTTGACCCCCATTATTTGGTGCTATAATTTCTTTTGGAGAATGACAGGTTGAAAAAGAAGGAAAAAATTTTAGTTTATGTGTAATATTATTTTATTGAAAAATATGTCTTTAAAAACAAGAGAGAGAAAAATGTATTATAAATTTAATGGAGCTCAAACGAGGGCTTAATGAGATTACCTAAGGATAAGAATAAGAAAACTGTTCGTTGTAAGTGGGTGTTCAAAAGGAAAAAATGTACATTAAGAGTTGAAAAGGCCATGTATAAGACATGACTAGTTGCAAAGGGATACAATCAAATTTAAGTTGTAGACTTCACAGATGTATTTTTAACAATTGTAAAATATATTTTGATTCCAGCTTTGGTTGGTATTGTGGCCAAGCATGATTTTGAACTGGAGTAGTCGGATATGAAGACACCACTCTTACGTGAAGAACTTGATAAGGACATCCATACACAGCAGCCATAGGGTTTTATTATTATAGGAAATGAGGACTATATTGAAAATCTCACTAAGTCCCATATGCCATTTTTATGAAGTAATTCTATCCTCTCCTGCATAGCAATCATCCATCTATTGGAATCATCACAACTCTACCAAATTCAATGTTCACGTGGGGAATTTAATTTAGTGGACCTACCAAATTAAATGTCATGGGAGAACTTTGCATAAAATTTTCCCCCTTTTCTTTAGTCTTTATTATTTTTTGAGTGACAAGAATTATCTTCACACCTACCAAATTCGGTGTTCACGTGGAGAATCACATTATCAAGGGTCATGAAAAAATTTTGCATAAATTTTTGTCCATTTTCTTTTGTCTTTATTGTCCTTTTCACTCGCAAGAAAAATCTTTATCCCTACTGTGTTTAAGTGGAGAACCACATTTTCATGGTTCACAAAAAAACTTTGCATAAATTTTTGTCCATTTTCTTTTATCTTTATTGTTCTTTTAACACACAAGAATAATCTTTATTGACAACGAATTCGGTAGGTCCACTGTATTTAATTCTCCACATGAACAATGAGTTTGGTATACTTGTGATGATTCTGATAGATGGATAATTGTTATGCAGGATGAGATGGAATCATTTCATAAGAATGGTACATGGGACTTAGAGAGATTGCCTATGGATAAGAAAGTTTTTCTTTGTAAGTGAATGTTGAATACGAAAGAACATACATCAGGAGTTGAAAAAGCTATAAAGCTAGATT